CCTATTACAAATATCTAAACAATAACTTACCTTAAAAATGCATTCCCATACTCAACCATTAGAGCTTCTGATTTGGGTTTGTTTTTGTTGTACAAGGCATAAAGATAAAACTGAGGCTCCTAAATGTTGAAATTAAACAGTAAAATATTTTAATTAGAATAATGGACTTTTTTGTTTTCTCAAAATCTGATAAACTGATTCATTCAACATTAAGTTCTCCACATGAAACATTTATCAAATAACAAACTTGGTAATCTTGTTTTAAAATAGCCATAGTCAACTTATTAAAAGAATGACATACACCATGATTTCCAAAAATTAGATTTACCCATTAAATGCCATTTACCATCTCAGGAACAAAGAAGTGTGTGTTCAATACAAAAATGTAAATATTTTAGTTTTTAAACACTCTGCAATTAAAAATGTGAACCCATTTTCAAGTTTTATTTTATATATAACTAATTACTTTTGATAATAAATTATAATATAAATAACTTTAAAATACAATTATATATTAACGGTTTTAATAATTTAGCATAAACTATTTACAAAAAACAAACAAAATATAAACCTTTTAATTCTAATATGCACAAACTGTACATCAATACAAAATCCAACCATGTTACCCTGATACCATTATTAAATTTGTAGTCATTTGGCCCACATGTAATTTGTAAAGTGGTAGAATGTACTGTGCACTCATAAAGTGAACCCCATATTTAAAATGTTATATCTTAACTACTCATCAAAGGAAAACAAAAATTCACCAGAGGCACATTAAGATCATATGTTTTATACATGAAAGTTTGGACATGGTAGGTGTTTAATATGCTTTCCTTCATTCTTGATCAACATACCAAGCTTATATTAAAGAAAGATACTAAAAGAATAAATTTGAATGAATGCTGTTCATTTATCCTACAATTTCCTGCACACTGACACTTATTTCATTCAAATCAACCTAATATTGTTGAAACATAGAAAGGGAGAAGAGATATTAAAGCAATACTAGTTTTAAAAGACATGACTTAGTTGTATAGTATAATATGGGTTGGAAACATTGCAAAGAAAGGAACATCCCCATAAACTGCTCATTTGAAGAGTGTTCCACACAAAACAATAAATGTGACATAATTTTTTGTAATTTAATATCTAAAATAATAGGTAGTAAAAAATTCTAAAAATAATATTTCAAATGGTAACATTAAATGTTAATCACCCTTCTTGACTGCTGTTCAAGACTACATTACATATACATCCTAGTTATGGTTATCATTAACAAGTACCTTCCAAATATGTTGTTTTTAGCTTAAGACAGATATAGAATAGATACTTACATAAGCAAGAAAACACTGTCCTACAAGGAAGGGTAAATTTTCACATTCTTCTAGCTGACTAAGGAAGTGGTGATTGTGAAATTCGAAAATCTTTTCAATATTTCCAAAAATGACATTCCTTTGACCCCGTAATGCTTGTGGAATGTCCTCTCGAAGAAGTTCTGGTAGATAATTCTGATTAACATAGGAACCTTACTTTAATTGTTGTGACTGAAGTATCCAAAGAATTTTGAAAGTTTGCTGATTTTCTACTGTCATTCATATTAAAAATATATTTTATTACAATAAAGTTCCACAAATAAACTATTATGCTATTGTAACGAATTTGTTATTATATATTTATCTTAATATTGATGCTGTTTAGATTAAGTTTATATTTAAAAACATGCGTAGCTTGTAGTGTTAGATATGTGTTGTGGAACTCCCGCCTATTCTTCAAAGTTGTAGAAGATTCTCAAGAATAAGTTTGTTTGTTTGTAATTAAGCACAAAGCTACACAATGGGCTATCTGTGCTCTGCCCACCACGGGTATCGAAACTCTGTTTCTAGCATTGTAAGTTTGCAGACATACTGCTGTGCCACTGGGGGGCCTCGAGAGTAAAAATCAACAATATAAGTGTGTACGTAAACGCTTAAATTTGTATTGTTACGTAAAACTGAAATTTCTAGAAAGCCTCTCCACACGCCTATAAATATAACCAACATGACACACCAAAGAGTGTATCTATTATTAGTTCACTATAGTCAGTGTGCTATAAACTTCGAAAGTTATAACTATTGAGAGTAAAAATCAACAATATAAGTGTGTACGTAAACGCTTAAATTTGTATTGTTACGTAAAACTTAAATTTCTAGAAAGCCTCTCCACACGCCTATAAATATAACCAACATGACACACCAAAGTGTGTATCTATTATTAGTTCACTATAGTCAGTGTGCTATAAACTTCGAAAGTTATAACTGTGATTGTTATAATGCTTACCGATCGGAAAACTTCAGATATTTGACCAGGAGCATTTACAAAGTTCGAACATTACAACTCATTTAACTTCAATGGATTCACATAGGATATTAATACTTTTACAAAAACATTACTTAAATTCAACCATGGCAAACTTGGCGTGTGTGACAAATCTAGCTAGCTTCCCGTTAAGTGAATCGTACATACGACAACTCATAATCAATTTGCTCATCGTGAACATGTTGGCAAATATCATAAACTGACTATATATCGGCTTTAATTTAACTACTAAATCCAAAGTACAATTTAACTACTAAATTTAAATTTATCAGTTAACTCAATTTCAGGGTATTTGAAATTCTAATACGTAACAGTTATCATAACATCCTTTGTTAGGATAAAGGATTAGCAGTAATTAATAATCTAACATAACATAGACATCCTAAAATACGTGTTCACATTTATCAAAAACAAACTTAGATATCAAAGTTAACTTTAAAAACTGAATAGCTAATTTTAACATCTGTTTGGGTTTGTATGAACATCAATAAAAATTTTGTATTTCTTTACCAAAACATCTCTATAAGTTAACTCAGTTAATCTATAAGTTCATGTCTGCAAAAAAAATCTGCTGAAAAACTATTCTAATTTTATTACCTCTTTGTATAATTAATTAAAAAATATATTACTGCTCACTGGGATTAGATGTAAATAGTGTAATGTATTACTGTTTACTGGAATTAATTGTGAGTAGCATAATATATGGTTACTACTAACTTATTTCTAACAAGTATAGAATATCCCAATTTTTGTTATGTATAATGTGTGAACCCAGTCTTACAAAAAAAGAAGTATCTAAGAGGTGTTGGGGCTTTCATAAATTTCCTGCAAGTATTAGCTTCTAAATGAAACTAAAACGACCATATTCAACCTTTGAGTGCTTTCTAAATGATATTATGAAAAAAATGTCCCATTTATCAGCAACCTGATAAGGAAAACTAAAAATCTCCAGCTGAGTTCATAATTAAAATATTTGGAAAGAATGCACTTTCCTTAAATTACAATAGGGTCTTACATATTGTCATAAACAACACTCGGGAATTTTTCTTTATTCTTGAAGTATAGAATGAAGCACTTTTTAAATATCAATTTAATGAAATAATAACATTATTTTTGGTAACATTTATTTTTCATTAACTGTTGGATATACAAGACTGTTCAGTTTCAGAGTTATTTAGTTATCTAATATTTAATGATTATTTAGTTTCATAACAAGAGTGTAAAAAGTTAATTATTTCAAAAGCGATAATTATGACAAGTTTTGTTACGGTACTCTGTATGAGTCATATGTTGTGTATGTAGTTTAATTGTTGTACTAGGCTTTTGTTATATTGTTGACATCATCTTACTCGAAGCTAAGTCTTTTTCGTTATGTGTAATATTGTCGTTAATAAAGGATAGATATTTCTAGATTTTTCTGTCGCATGTTATAAATACGTGCAGATACAGAGAGGAAGGTTAGAGAAAGTAAATGTGAAGTTAGACTGTGAGATTGTCAGTTTAGTCGTAAGGAGCCATTTCTGAAGTGAATTTCATAGTCTGTATTTTAACAACAGAGATAAGGAAGAATAATTTGTCTTGTCAAAAGGAGTTTTAAAGTAACTGAACCTACCTGTGTGGACTTTGACATAAAGGAGACAATATTTAAAACTCTGGATACAACTGTGGTAACCCATAGGGTAATGTAAGTGAATTTATCATTGACTGTATTGTGATAACTGAGGAGAAAATAAATAATTTCTTATCAGTTGGGTTCTAAAATAACTGAACCAGCCTGAGTGGACTTTTGACGAAAACAATAATTATTTAAAGTTCAAAATTCAACTGTGGTAAAAAATAGTGTAACAAATCTTTGTACATACATTTGACTTGTTTTGAATATATTATTTTAAAAGAAGTGGATTGTGTGCTGTCCATTTATTGTTGAAATTTATCGTCAACAAGCCACAAACACTATAAAAACCTGACATTAACATTGGAGCAATAAATATTTATCGTTCATAACTTCTAAGATAAGCAAAAACACCTTTTTCAAATTTTCAACAATGCAGGTATATAATGCTAAATATTCCTATTTATATCCAAGAATATACAACTTAACCAATGTTTATCTTGCCTACCTCAATTATATACTCCAAAGACTTAACATAGTCCTTTTCTGTTTGAATCATTTCTCTCATGATATGTAACAATGTCCTGAAAAAAACAATAAAATACACTACTACTTTAAATTATCTGACTAAAACTTGATACAATTCATCTTTAATAAAATTAGAATTTTTTTTATCTCTAAAAGCTTTTAAAACAGTGAAATAACAAATATATAAATAAATTACACCAATAACTAACATTAACTGAAGAAAAAAAAAGAGTATATCACTGATATACCACTACTTTGGCAAAATCCAGGGGACGGCAGCCTGGGGCTCCAGAGCTACATGCAGTTCTTTAACTCTCTCCCTGTTCAGTTATTGAAATAGGGGTTACATGCATTGCAGCTCTCAGTATCTTGCATTTTCACTGAATTTGAAAAAAATGTCTCTTCTTGTAACTTGGGTAGCTGACCCCTGGTATAATCTGATCAATATTTGATTCAGTTAGATAGACACTTTTTTTTATAAAGTTTTCAAAACAATAAAAACAAATATATAAGGTAATCACATCTATAACTAAAACAAATTCAAACAGTTTCCATTCATTTCATCTTATGTGTTAGCCTAAATCTTTCACAGAGGCTTCAAGGATGCACTGGCACTTTGTTTGGACACTGGAACTATTCCATCAAAGATAATGTTTCTTTGCAGACCACACTCTACTAAGGTCAATCCAAGTCAAACTGAAATGGTGGAGAACTACACTGACAGTTTGTGTGATCTACTGATGACTGTTATTTTGCAATTTTAAAACTTAGACTACTAGTTGCATTAACATTTTTTATCATTTGGGCCTGGTCCTCCCATCAGGACATTTCCTAGTAATATTTGTGGCAAGTTTGCTTTTGAAAGGTTTACAGTCACAAGTGAATGTACAGTTTCTTTTCCTTTTGCTAATTGTCACTACAAAAAATATATTTTACTAAATACGGCAAGTAAAGTTATGTGGGTTACAGCAACAAAAGAACAAGTTCATAAGGTATTTGTAAATCATAAAGAATGTCTAGGGGAATAAAAAATATTGCTTTCAACAGGTCCACAGTATATGATGTATATTGTTGTAGTGTGGCAGTTAGGACAGGCTTAAAAATGTTTCGGTTTGCTGTAACTCCACTGACCATCTGAAGTTGGGGCAGACTGAAAGATTTTTGATATTATGACCTAGGAACTTTTTATTTTCCCCAACTTCTGCCAATATACCAACCCATCTAACAAAATTTGCCAACTTTAGAAATTTTTTATCACCATATTATGATTAGAATATTTTTTCTCAGAAATTCATGTAGTCTATGATGATGTAGGAGGGCATACACCTGATTACCAATTGGCAGCTCAATGCTGATTGGCCAATACATTTAGGTTTGGCAACATGGCTTATCTCATCCCCAGGACCCTTCATGCTAAATTAATAAATACATGTCCTAGCAGGGAAGAATTTACTATTGGCGAGCATACATCAACAACATGGCGAATACAAGTCTGTTAAGTGTATACGTCTCCAACAAATATTCTCACGGATTGAGGATTAGGATGAAAAACAAATTAATTCCAACAGGAGGGAAGTACTTGTAGATTTATTTGCCAAAAGAAATGAAATGGAAGAACAAACCTCAAAACTGTTGGCAAAATTCCATTCAATTTCGTTGATAATGACCAGTAAGTGTGTGTGTTGTAAAATAATTTGAAATTTCTGCAATTCTCTTCATAAAATCAATGTTGTTAGTAATTGTATTCATGGTTTAACATGTTATGTTTTAGGTGATAACAGAACTAGTGTATTTCTGAAATTTTTTCTGCTGACCAATTTGAAAAAAAAATATATTTACCTACCTACCCACATTTTAAATCAGTTTTCGGTTACAGCAAACAAAAATATTTTTGAAGCCAGGCATTAAACACAACATTAGATATTCTTTGGTGTTTGGTTACATCATATTTCATCAGCTTTAAAAGCATCAAATATTATCAGGTTTTTAAGATAATGTCTGCTTTAAGGGTATATTAATCAGTTGAAAGCTACAGATATTAAAAATGTACCTTGTTAACCTATTAAAAAGCAGAGAGTTTAAACAGACTAAATTTACTTCATTTTTATTTTATGGTAAAATTGTTCTTAAGATACTAAGAAAAATGAAGATATAATACTTTTAACTTATTTACTTTTTTCGTTTCATTTGTTGGTCAAGATCTTCTGGCTGGTTGCTGTTAGCAGTTCTTGCCAGGTGGCTGTTTACTGGGACAGGTGAACTACACGTACCTGGATCTGATAAAGTGTGGGCTACAGCATACCTGGATGAGCTACTAGGATCTTCAGTTTCTACTACACTGCAAAAGTCACCATCATTAGAACAGTGGTTTTAAGTGTACAATAATTACTTCTAATAACCAAAAACAACTGAGCTTCCACTGTAATCACTGGTAATTTGAAGTTTTGGTAATATTTCAACAACTACACAATATGATATAAAAATATGTAAATGTCAAGTGTCTTCAAAAGACATCTGAGTAAAGTCATAAACTTTCCTTATATCATAAATTTCTAATTATTACATGTATCTAGCTTGTACATTTAAAATTCATGCACACTTCTTTTTTTTTCTAATTTACTATACTGTTTAATTTTTTTTTATCTTTAATAAGCAAAAATCTTCTACTAAAACTTTATCAGACAGTTATACACACACACTATTGTTGGAGTTCCTTGAAGATAAAATGTATATAAATACCTAATACATTTCATAGTTACTTATCTAACAATAAAATGTGATTTCACAGCATCTAATTTTTGGGTTCTTTGTTGCAGCTGAAAGAACTGCTATGTTTCACTTTTCTGTAATTGGGAAGAATATATCTTTATTTAGATATATTTTCAAAATTATCATGCAATTGTTCTTTGTGTAGTTAACTGGCATCTTGTAAACAGAATGTGAAAGGTTGCATTGTTAAACAGAATTACATACTATAAGGATTATTCAGTAAAGCTTATACCTGCTTGTTTCTGTGTAATGCCCTCCTGGAGTGAGATCATTATCATTTCAAAGCATGGTACAAAAACTTATACAAGTCAATAGGAACCAAGGATTCATCTTTTTAAAAATATATAATGGGAATGATTGTTGATGTGGGTAATCTAGGAAGGTAGTATTGGTGTCTTGGCTAGTTTAAAAGTGTTTTATTGTATTATGTTTATTTCTATTGCTGTCTTAATCTTGTGAAGATGTAAGGAAATCTAACTCTCTTTCCCAGGAGGCAAGTATTAGTGACAACTGATTACAGAAGCTTACCTGAATACCAGTTTTAAACTTTTATACAATATTTTCAAAAAGAATGACATTTCACTATCAAAACTCTAACTAACAGTAAGCAACTTTACATTAAAATATTCACCACTGATTGGGTCCTACATACTTTTACCTATAAAAAAGGAAAAAACTTCTTAGAAAAAGACAAAATTAAGCCCAAGTTAAGCTTTTCACAACCTGGGAAGTATTAGTTGAACTTCACTTGCATGTGGCTACATGATTTATTCATCCAATAGAGAAACGTTTCATCACAAAACCCTAAAGATAAAAAAATTGATAATTAAAATTATATCTTACTTTGAAACATTTTCCCCAGACTGGTTAATTGCTCTTGTCACTTGGTCAATTTGTAGTTTTTCATTCTGTTCACGAACTTCACTTGTAGCTTTCTGAAGAGCTTCTTCACAGAGCTGCCATGTCTGACACTTTCTCATCAGCTTCTTCAATGGGCGATGGTGAGATGATCCTTCCTTGGCAGAATTCTGAATGGAAGCAGCTCCAGCAACAATACTCCCAATTATTCTCTCTTTCAGTCCTACAAGACTACTTCCACTATGACTTTTAAATACACCATAGGGTTGAGCTTCTTTCTGAGTATGGTTACTTCGGGCTTCAAGTTTACTAAGAGAGATTGAGGCTACTGGTCCTTGTGTTGTTAGATCTTCTGTAATGAGTCCTTGACTCAGAATATGATCTTCTTTATCATCAATGGAGTGGTTTGAATGGCAATCTTTTAATCCTGACACTGGATTATAGTTACTTGGGAAAGAGGTATAAGAGCCAATTGAACAACTGTGGGGAGATGAAGTAGCTATTGATCTTCTCCTGTAAAAGCCAGAAGATGAAATGGAAGATGCAGTAGGAGTGCTTGTACTTTGAGGAGTCCAGCTGTGGTGGTGTTGGAAGTTAGTTTGACTGGATGAATCAGAATCAGGTTCCCACAACTCCTGCTGATGTTGGAGAGCCTCTATTTCCTGGTGTTGCTTAGCCTTCAAAAGTGTAGCTCGCCTTGTCTGGAGTAATTCCATTGTTTCTTGGCAACGAGCAGAAGCAGCCTACAACACAAGTAGTATAAGTTCAAAACCACAACACTTTTACATAGAAAATCATACATTGTACTAGAAATTATACAGCTGCAACAAATATTTTATATTTTTTGAAAATAAAATTTACAGTGAAATACAATTGAGAGAAAATTCATAAGCTATAAACAATTCATATATTAGTTATTTTCACTAGTTTATTCACGAGTATAATTTCTTTGAGGATATAAGAAAACTTTGACTAGTCACATTTCATAACATGCCTACCTTGACCTAAGTGAAACCAGTTCCAGAAAGATTTCACTAATATTTCAAGTGGTTCCAACTACTTTGTTAATCATAATATTTGACCTGAACTGGCACAATATACAAGGATGTTGGCGAGCTAGCTGACAGAAAACGTACTTTACTTGAATAACAGAACTATTCATTGAACAGAGACTTGCTAATCTTATGGCTATTGAAGCGAAAAAATGGAATATACTGTGTTTGATTCTAAATTAAAACTGCTGAAACATTTCATGATAAAAATATGAATTGTAATCTTAAACTCATCTACTGAAAATATTTGAAATATTTTCATTAAAACAAACTCTTAACTTCTTAACTGATATTTCACAGGCAAGTTGGAGTAACATAGATTATCAAAAATGTTTATTTCAGAATTTTTGTTAAACTTCTAATTTCAGTAAGCTGAAACATTTTGTTTCAACAATATGATAAACTATATATTTAATATTGTGTACACATGATTGCTAATAAAGTTGTTGGATATACAATTGCTTAGTGTAAGAGTTATTATTTAATTCATTTATTGATCTAATATTTAATGATTATTTAGTTTTCATGACAAGAGTATTAAAAATAGTTATTTTAAAGGCAAGAGTTATGTTTGTTTGTAATTAAGCACAAAGCTACACAATGGGCTATCTGTGCTCTGCCCACCACTGGTATCGAAACCTGGATTCTAGAGTTGTAAGTCCACAGACATACTGCTGTGCAACTGGGGAGCACATTTATTTGAAGTTCTGGATACAACTGTGGTAACTCACAGGGTAAGGTAAGTGAATTTGTCGCAGATTGTGCAGTAAGAAACAGAGTAGAGAAAAATAATTCGTCTTGTCAATTGAGTTTTACAGTATCTGAACTAGCCTGTGTGGACGTTTGACAAGAAAGAGAATTACTTAAAGCTTTAGATACAACTTTGATAACCAATAGTGAAATGAAGTTTTGTAGATACGTTTAACTTGTTTTGAATATATTAGTTTAAAACCAGTAGTTTATTTTAAAAGTAGTAGTCAAATTGAACAAATTATTTTTATACTGTTATGTATAAGAAATAAAAATACCTTGCACTGATCAAGCAACTTTTTATTCTCTAGCTTTGTTGCCAAATTCAACATTTCTTGGAACACCTCATCTGCAATTGGAGGATGATCTTCAAGATAGTCCTGAAGCTGTTTCAACATTTTCATCAGACCAGATGTAAAAAGTTGCTCAACTTTCATCTTTGAAACAAACTTCATAGTTTCTAAAGCCCATTCATAAGACTTGGGAAGAAAAAACATAAACATAGATATATTATTGATAAACCTAACACTTTTATGCAATGTCAAAATGACATAAAAAATCTTTCTGTTCACTAAGTTTGAAAGTTATTTGAAAAGATAACTAATTTGACAAATATATGTAAAGCATGAAAATAGTTTTATGTATCATTATGTAAAAAATAATTAAAGGTGATATTGAAATGTGAAACAATTTCACTCCTTATCTCAGAATAGTCATATCAAACTGTACCTGGAGTGATATACAAAACACCCTTAGACAGCAAAGAACTTGTACTGTCACTGGTGGTTCTTGTAGTAAATGATTTAGTATTTTATAAATGACTAATGTATAGAGTGAAAATGAATATTTCAAATAAATAGTTGGTAGTTGTACAATAATATATCAATCAGTTAAAAGATTATTATCTGGTGCTAATATTTCTGTGAAAATTACATTCTGGAACATCTCATATAATTAATTTTAAAACAATGTAGCTCACTCACTCTATCAAGAAAATGGTAACATTTGGCTGTATCTTCCAACCGCTCTCGAGTATCTTCTAGATGTTCTGTAAACGTGTTCATATGGTCTTTCAGAGTATCTGCAAGCTCTTGTACATCCCCATGCCCACCGTCATCAACCACATTTGGAGGACCAGCTGTCAAGTTGGAGACTTTAGGGTTGAATGCTGCGGCATCCTCCAATAGATCATTTCCTTTCTCAAGTTGCCGCTATTGGAAGGATTTTCAGTGACTTTAAACTTGTTATGAGATATACTGTCCAGCATAAGAAAGGGAAACATTGACATTTTCCTGTTTACAACATGCTGTGTAAGTGATTCTTTGATTGTCTGTAATTCCCACTTTAATTCGTTTTGTACAGTTGTTGGTAACAACCGAGAGTTGTGCATTATTAAAAATAAAACCTTATTGTATTTTTAAATACATTTTTATAAACTATCAATACATAGAATTGCTTGTGGGTATAAGAATTTGTTGGCGATATGATTCCCCCAATAACATATTAATTGCAAAAAGATAGCATCAATATTGCAATTAATCCCAGTGATTACATAAAAACGAGTAATTTCATCCAATTTTAGTAGTCAATTATTTTACAGTGAGTACTGTAATATGCAAAAAATTGAATGATGAAAAAGAAATTGATAATTTGATGGTTAATAAGAAATAGAGTAGATTTGGCTTTATAACTGTACTGGAGTTCAAAATAGGCTATTTATGTTACAGCTAAAAATAAACTACATTACTTCAACTAATAACTCAAAACGGTTTTTTTCACTCTTATTTAAGATCCACCATTTCAACTGGAAAAACCACAAAAGTTACAATAAATATCGGACAAATATTTTATGCAATGAGTTTATCTTTCTCAATGTTGTTTCGTTTCTCTTTGTCTATGAATAAACAAAAAAAGAAAAACGTTTTCTTTAGAGCATAAATATCTAAATTGCAGCATTTTTTAATCTTATTTATTTAATCACAAAACGGCTAAAGCAGGAGTCACAGAAGTATAAAATATTCTGGAACATATTTTGCAAAACATGCCTTATCCCTGGAATGATATCAGTTGTACACCTTATATATAAAAACATTTAATTTTGGTTCTGGACATATTTAGTATGTTCATCCTGATGGACGCCTTATGCGATATATGGATAAATGAATAGTCAGATACTCCAAGGTTGAGGAGATTGTCTTCCCTTTAAAATTGTTGGCTCAAGGAAAAGCAACCAGTCACAGTGCTCACCTCCTACACGTCTACTCTTAATCTAACAGCAGGATTGACTATTACTTGTATAATATACCCACAGTGGAAAGTATTGTGGCAAGTTGCGGGCTCGAACCTTTGGCCTCCTGATCTGCATTTCGGCACGCTAACCAATAGATCACACTCGGCCCGCAGCGTTCCAAATCAACGCAAAAAGCTCAGTATGTGTGACTTACCTAGCATACTTTGAGCTCCAATTTTCACTAAAATTTCTATGCTATGTGCTAATTGATGTAAAGGTTATTCGATAAATGTTATAGAATTCTTTACAGCTTACCGACTTTGAAAAATACGTTTGTTTCAAATTCTGGTACCTGAAGAACACAAGTCTTTAGTGAAAACTTAGTGCTTTTCCATTCAAAAATCACAGCCGAAATATCGGTCCTAATTATCAGAATATCAGAAGGGTTCTAAAGATATTTAAATATGTGTCTTCCATATATGGAAAACCTACATTTACCATAAACCAAAGGGTAAATATAGTCTCAGAATATCTGTAAAATAACATCAGTAATCAGTCATCTATGGCGCTGAGAAGTCTCACGTGAGTGACCTAAAATCTTTCACCTCAACAAGTTATTTTCGGCGGTCAGCTTTCAGTTAGTATTTGTTTCATGCAGATGAACAGCAACTGTTGGCAAACTAACTAAATCGCCGAAAAGAAATAGTATCACGCTTTGAACGAATCTGTATACGTACTGAATTAGCATATAAACAAAGCACAACTGATCTGGTGGGGAGTAGATGCCACGTCGAATGAGTGCAAGGGCGACGGAGCATGTCTCTACGTATTGTCCACTTATTATAGCAAGTACATTAGATAAACAAAGTATGTAAATAGTGTGACCTATACCACTATGTAAACAGGAAAATACAGTTGTGAGCGGTATCGCACTTGTTTACCACGTAACAGTTAATTCAGATCAGTCACTGGTGTTTTCGATAGGGTCTCCTCACGACAGTTAACATAGAAGAACGATATCAAGCTTCTAAAATTACTGCATCTCACAGCCACGTTCGTGTAAATTTCTCTCAAGCCATTAGTGTTTTGACCTTTAATTTTAGCAACTGTAGACGGCGGACCGAAGGTTAAGTCAGTACAGAGCCTTAAGAATTAAACAAAAAGCTTAAAAATTAATTTCTACTCCTAAATTTTGCTATTAAAAGAACAGCCACCGAGATTATGGAAATGTCTACTGATCAGATACAAGACGTCGTGATCGTAAGTGAACTGCGACTTCATAAGTCGTGTTTCCATACAGATTCTACATGGAACCTCTTCGAACACAGACATAGCAATGCCATGCCACTACTTTAGTTCTTATATAATTTATCTCCACCAACAAGATAAATATTTCAGCGGTTTTGTTCTAGAAAAATACAGACTTTGATCCGTGGCGTATACGGTATACTATCACCAAAACTGACCAATTGCCGTATTTTCTCTCCTTCAAATTTTATGAAATACAACAGAAATTACACACGCACGATGAATGACATTTCTTAATAGATTAAGTTTTAGCCATTGTAATGAAATGGAGATAACAGTATGTTAGTAAGGTTATGATCTCTCGTCTAAAACCAATACTGTATTCTGTGCCATAAAAATAACACACTAAGTTCATCGAAAGGCTTTATCAAAGGAGTAGAAAGTTCGCAATAATAGAAATAAGTACGTGTAGAACCATCCCAGAGTGTTTTATGTTACTTTGATATTAATCTCCGTTTACAAGTTTTAATTTGTTATAGGAAAGCCAAACAAACGTACTGAATACGCATTATGGAGATAAAGTGGAGAATCATTTGAGAAACTGGCAGCTCCGTAACAAGACAGTTTGTAGACCTTACATTTTAATGTAAAATGTTCAAAGAACATACAACCTAACCAGTAATCACATAAAATATTCAAATAACAAAGTCTAACCAACAAATCTTCTGAATTAAAAATAAATACTTTAAAAGATCGAGAGGAAAACAAGCAACAAGGTATTGGCGTTGACCAGAAGTGATCCATTAAATTAGAACACCTGCTATTTCTACTCTCCTTTGATAAGAAGCTCTTAAAAATGGGGAGCAAAAAGGTAGTTTTTGCGAATAAGGAATTAGGCCCGTGTAAACTCTCACGAATCGACTTAGGTTTACAAAATGGACTAGATGTTACAAACCGATTTAGGTATATAACGTGGACTAGATGTTACTAACCGACCTAGGTTTATAACGTGGACTAGATGTTACAAACCGATTTAGGTATACAACGTGGACTAGATGTTACTAACCGACCTAGGTTTACAACGTGGACTAGATGTTACTAACCGACCTAGGTTTATAACGTGGACAAGATGTTACTAACCGACCTAGGTTTATAACGCAGTTCGTTTTAGATGATGATATGTCCCCAGGAACTAGATATTACAAATTTGCTTAGATTTATAACAGGGTATTCGTTTCAAAAGAGGATATGCCCACAAACTAGAAATTATAAAACTAGCTTAGTTTACAACACATGGTTCGTCCCAGAAGTGGATATGCCCATAGTCTAGATGTTACAAATCGGCTTAGGTTTTTAACACGTAGTTCGTCGTTTGAAAGACGATATCTCCATGAACAAGACACATTAGGTGAACTTTTTTGTGTCAAACAAGTACTGTGTAGCATGTGATAGGGAGTAACTGTCTGCGGTCATAAATGTTATCGCGCGATTCGTTGCGTGACATGATTTCTTTCAGAAACAGGTACCGCACTGTTTTCTTCCTCAATAGTGGATCAAGTAATATTTGTATAATTTTGACAGAAAGCAGCCTAGACAGCCAACAACAAAATAATAATAATAAAACACCAACACCGTTTCGCTAAGTGATGTTTCTTACAATATTTGTAATCACACTGATCATTTATTTCTCGACATTCCTCCTTTATCCTTCATGCTTCTGACTGTATATAATATAGTTGCACTTTTTATTACCCATTTCGTATTACACACTGTATCTATAGTCTTGGCCAAAATGTTTGGATAATGTTCTATATTGATTTTATTGTCTACATGCATGGAGTAGTTATTGAGTAAATGTCCGAGTAGTAACAAAGAATGTATCGTATGATTGGACAAACATGTACGAGTCATTATTCTGGTCTGTATGATTATTTTGCACCGGACATTGTCAGAACAGTAGGGTGCCCCCCAGTGTACTGTATCCAGAATACTGAAATGCCATAGGAATACAGGAAAGTCTACTGGTAGACGTAGAAAAAATACTGCTCGAGATGGCCGTGTTTTGAACACATTAACATGTCAAGGTCGAAAGAAGTCTTTTAACACTTTACGACAGGAATGGCATAGATACATTCATTCCAGACTACCCAGAAGAACAGTGAATAGGAGACTGACCAAACAAGGTTATTTTGCAAGAAGGGCTACCTGCAAATCAATATTAATCAGAATTCGCCTCCATCACAGTGATATTGGGCAAGACAGCATGAAAACGTACAGTTAGGACACTGGCGACATACAATTTTTTCCCCATAGTCCTGTTTCTGGCTTGTTAAAGCTGATGGCAGGATTCGTGTTCTTCGTTTGCTTGGAGAACAGATGAGGAAAACTGTCTTTCCCACAGGAGTTGGTGCAGTACATATTTGGGCAGCTATTCATTATGGTGGAAAAACTGCTCTTCATATCCTCCAGGGAAACGCCAATTGCGCCTCCTACAGGCATCACTTGGAGACAATATTTCTGCTATATGATAGGGCAAGGTTTGGAAATAACTTTGTGTTCCAGGATGACAATGTTACTGCCCACAGTGCGTGCATTGTACAGGATTATCTCGATCAAGAGGATGTTACAAAATTGTCATGGCCAGCAAAGTCTCTAGATTGTAATCTCATTGAAAATTGTTGGGCAGAAATGAGCCGGAAAATTGCTAACCACGATCCTAAATCAGCTATTATA